GGGGGGGGGGGGGGGGGGGGGGGGGGGGGGGGGGGGGGGGGGTACGTATGTTATGCACGCCTTAGCACTAAGGCCACGCATCCTCGAGAGGACGGAACATTGTTCCCACAGGACCGGCCACCGATGAACAATCGTCCCTTCCTACTTTTCACCTCACGAGAGCAACCAACCAGTCAACATCTTGGCACCGTAATGAAACAATCATATTTGCCACCCTCAAATGAAGTCGTGAGCAACAACGCGTAGAAGAATACCGTGTGAACTACGCCAACAAGCACCAGCAAGTTGTGTGACTCTCTCTCCCTCTCCTTACCCCGGTGGACATGGCGCCGTACCCGCTCACGTCCCCCGAAGGCCAGTACCCACCGTACGGGGACTGCATGGACTGCATTGTCGGTGTTCCAGGGACGACCTGAGAGAGTCAGAGAGGCAACACAGGGGTGCAAGACTTGGCACTCTTTCGGCGAGACAACTTCGACCACGAGTTTTGTTTGCCCTCGAGCATCCATGCCGTAATCCTGCCGAATCGAAGACCGCATCCATATACTTGCCCGCGGCCGCCGGTTTGTGGTATACGCAAAACCGGTCGCACGTATACTGCAAGCATCACACAGATACGCGGATACCTTGGGCGAAATCGGACACCTGAACCTCCCTGGAAGACTCAACACAAACAAAAGAGAATACGCACCTACGACGATTTTGGTACACCCACATACCGCCTCCAGTTCTTCCCCAGAGCGCGATACATGAACGGAAAAACACAACAACACCCTCCTCTTTCTGCCCGAAAATTACAATATTTCGTCCAAGTTTTTGTCTGCCATCGCGTGATGGCCATGTCCATAGAACCCCCCCCCTGCCACCCTACTCTTTCCTCAAGCAAGCGTTCACAACGGTCTCCTGCTACCGTAGGAATAGGAGGACTAGCTCACCCCCATGCTGTGCACCATTCCTCCGGCGCCGACAGGGTATCCGCTGGGCATCCCCTGCTGTATCTCTATGGCTCCAATCTAACGAGCAAAATAACAAAACAGGAACACACAAGAGAAACGTGAGTCAATGAGAAGAGGTGACGAAACCAGCACATGGACCTCGTTGTTGCATTCCACAAGACACGAGCAACGGCAACGAGTCACCTCGGAGGTTGTGACCGGGCCAGAAACGTACGAGTGCATCTGGAGCGATTCGTACTGCCTGTACAACCAGCAAGGACGGGCAGTCATTCTTTGTACAGTACCTGGCATGCATTTCTCAAAAATGAACATATATTCCAAAAAATATAAACATGGTTCCAAGAAGAAGGCAAGGTTATGCACGCGAACACCCACACCCGGTGATTGTTCATCTCACGGTAGTAGGTGGAGCGTACACAGTACACAGTACAGAGGACCGGGGGGTTTGGGGGGGAAGAGACGTTTGCTGGCGCCCCCATGCGTGGGCTATTTTACGGACCGCGCACGGGAGGGTGGAGTAAAAAAAACGAAAAAGTATTGGTGTTCGACACACGAAGACAATTCGGTACTCGGTAGTTTCGGGCTGTGAGGCCGTGAACCGTTGTTGCTGCAAAGCGGAGAGTTTCGGACTGGATGTGAAGCACTGCTGTGTTGCATAGGGAGCAGTTTCAACCTGACGCTATAACACTGCTGTGTTGCGGCGCGGGGTGAGTTTAGAGGGTACGCAAACAAACGCCAAGGATCGGGAGGGCGGAAATGAATTGTAAAGACCTCAGCGCATCCCTTTCGACTGGGCATATACCTCGAGCGTGTAGTTTTTCTGTGTCAGAAAGGCTTACCCATTAGACTATAATACTCAGTCAGCGCTGACTAGTCTGACTAGTCTGATGGTGTATGTAACTTTATCTTACAAAAGGTATACGCTCAGCTCATTAGCACCCGGCAGGATCACTTGGGTTTCTACATATATGTATGGCTTATTGAGAGCAGGGATCTCCGGGGATGGAGCCCTCGCCAGACTCTGACAGTTCTACGCGCACTTCTTTGTAAAGGAAAGTGATCCAACCGGTGTTTGAACTCGTGCGGGTATCCTTCGTAAGATAAAGTTACGCCATTAGACTACTCAGTCAGCGCTGGCTAGTCTAATGGTGTAACTTCATCTTACATTCTGTGAGATTGTGTTACATTCTATGAAAAACACGTGCCGAGGACCTGACCGATTGCCCCGGCAAGACAAAATGATAGGTGCAAATTCAGAGCAGAATCGAGCAACGAGCGAAGTCGAGAGAGAACAACAACGAGCGAATAGGCGCG